GGGGGGGGGGTCATACAACACAGAGAAGACAAGTGGCGATTCTATAGCATCTTACTACGCTCATGGACAGTGACCGTCATGCGGCATGTCGGGGTCGGGGGTGGTGAGGGGGGGACGTGGTGATGGGGAAGGCATAGTAAACATCATGCTGCTCATGTAGTTGTACACTAATGATATCCCCACCCCAAAGAAAAGGAAGGGAGGGAGGGAGGGAGGGAGGGAGAGAGGGAGGGAGGGAGGGAGGGAGGGAGGGAGGAAAAGAGAAAGGAAAAGAAAGCTGGCACAAGTGAGGCTATGGATGAATTTCTCTGAAAACTCACAAAGGGCTTATTTAGAAGAACGCTTACTGCCCTAGTTAATTTAGTTAGATTTACAAGAAGTCACTAAGCATTTGAGTCAATGCTAAGGAATGGAAAGCAAGTCACTGAAGTGTCACCCTGCTCACCAGGTGTTCACAGTCCCAGCCAGTCTGCTGGTATTTATGAAGCACTTGCTAAATGCAGGGCACTGGTCTGGGTCCCCTAAAGGACACTGAGAGACCACATACTGGGGGCTTTTGAAAACTATCTAGGCCCAGGCTCCACTCCTAGGTTCAACTGATCGTGGGGGGTGGGGGGGTAAAGGGGTAGGGGGATGCAGGTGAGTGGGGTGGTGAGGGAGAGTGGGGGACAGGCCCCAGTGCTTTTTAAAGTGCCCTCTAGTGATTATAAACGGGTTGGATACCAAGGCTCTAAAAGATTCAGTGCCAGAATGCAGGAGATCAGCATCAAGGGCTGGAGGCACTCCCACCGAGGTGGGAGAGCTTGGGAAGGCTTCATGGAAGAGGTGGGCAACATTTAGCCACTGTGACATGAGGGTGGCCTATTCCTGGATGCCCAGAGGCCCCTTGCCCAGCATTTTCTGCCTGTCATTCACCCCCACAAGCCTTGGGGTTTGTGGTCCTGCTGTCAGCCACAGGAAGCCACTGATGGCCTTAGAATTATGTTTTATAATTAAGTTTGATAGCCTCCCTGACAAATGGAGGGGAATATGATGCATCT